GTTCGTTTATTTATGTACTTTTCAAAAAAAAATATATCAAAAAAAGATAAATCATAAATTTTATCCAAAAATATGAGGAAAAATTTTTTCCTACTTTTGAAGGCTAAAAAGCTATCGAAATCTTTATTTTTTTCTTTCACGAAATTTTTTATCATAAATGCACCGTAAAAACAAGCAGAATAAAAAAAAATTTTTAAGTGTTCATTTTTCACCTAGTTATGGCCGAAAATGAGGTTGACCCAACTTGTAAATAATTACCAAAAATTTTTATAGATTTGAGAAAAAACAATTTTAAAATTGTTTTCTTCCAAATCAAAAATATTTTTTAAACAAGAAAGTTGCCATGAGAAAAAATTTTATTTCTTCAGCTAAGAATTAAAAAATTGTTTCAAATTTTCAACATTAATTTCTTATTACAAAAAAATTTTTCTCAGTATAGGCAGCTGTAATCCAGACTTTCTGATTTACAAACCTATTTGACAAATAAAGTACGTAAGTTTTTAGTCTAAAATAAATGTTAAATGTATTAGTGTTTCATGACTTTGTCTTCTTCCAGATGTTTTCAGGCGATAGTCAATAAAAGATTTTGAATAAATTTAAATTTTACATAGAAAAATATTTAATTGCTTTTTCATCGTTTTAACATAAATGTTTTGTCTGCAAACAGACTACTAGAAGAATAGTGTATGATAAAATTTATGTCATAGACTTACAGTGTTTCCTGGTACAACTCCACCCCAAAAACCGACGTCGACAAATAAATTTCCTTGAGCAGCTTTCATTTTTACCTTCAAATTATCAACTGTCGTGGTTGGTGGTATAGAATTACTGTAAAAAAATTAATTTTTGTACAAATCGACTACTAAAAAATAAATAAAACTATTTACAGCGGCATATCAACGACAGTAGTAACTCCACCAGCAGCGGCAGCTTTTGTTGCGGTTTTAAATTCTTCCCATTGCGTGCGTCCAGGATCATCGATATGAACATGCGAATCTACGAGCCCAGGCATCAGAACGTAAAATCCAAAATCTTTGATAATAATCCCTGGATATTTCTGCAAAAAAAAATCAATTATTTAATTTAATACTTACTTTAATATTGAATTTTATAAAACTTACATTTTCTACGCGTTTAATCTGTTGATGAACATCCCCACGTAATATTTCATAAATTTTCTCATCCGAAACTACGACGACAGCTGGAGTAATTTCATCGTCAAGAACAGTACGCTGAGATACAAAAGCTTTAATCCTTGGAGACATAATTAATACTTAATCATAAGCTACTAATTGAACAGTACTTGCTTGTAATATATAATTTAATTTAAAAAGTTTTATGATTACGTTATTGAACTACTTTGCTTTATGGTTCATAAAATTTAAATATAACAAGTAAGTTAAATCTTAACTCTAGAGATAAGAATTTTTTTATTAAAGTTCAAAGTTAAAGATTAACTTAAGAGTAATTCTGAGTAATTAAAAATTAATGGATTTCATAAGCGATGTTAATATGTCAATATTAAATATTTTAGAGAGTGTATCCAGGGAACTTGGCTGACGATGGATTTGTAAGATCAATTAAGTAGTAAATGACTCCAGCGAGACCTAAAAAATTTGGATAGAAATAAATAAATAAATTGAAAAAAAAAATTTTTGGTAATTATTTACAAGTATGGTCCGCCTTATTTTTGGTCATATCTAGGTGAAAAATTAAAATTTTTTAATTTTTTTTATTCTGCTTGTTTTTACGGCGCATTTATGATAAAAAATAAAGATTTCGATAGCTTTTTTGCCTTCAAAAGTTGGAAAAAATTTTGGCTCATGTTTTTGGATAAAATTTTTATTTTATCTTTTTTCGATGTTTTTGATATATTTTTTTTTTTTTAAGTTAATTTATTTTAATTTCTCTAAAATTTTCGATCTTATCAATTCATGTTCAGTAGTAAATTATAGAATGTAAAAAACTTAATCTAATGTTGCGAACTGCGTAAAAATCGGTTTATCCATCCAAAAATGATTGCAGTTTGAAAATTTTATGAATAGTATTTTATTAAACTTCTGTCAGACTTCTGAGCTCGAAGAGCTCAAAGACGTCATAAGTACAACTTCAAGCACCTAGGTATGGAATTAGCGGGAAGTTACCGGGATAGCCTTCAGGGTTTTCCTAATTTTTTTTATTCTGCTCGGTTTTACATCACATTTATGATAAAAAATGTCATAACAGGAAAAAAAAGATTTCGATACCCTCTTTGCCTTCAAAAGTTGGAAAAAAAATTTTGGTTCTCTTGTTTTAGGATAAAATTTCTATTTTATCTTTTTTTAATGTTTTTGATATATATTTTTTGAAAAGTACATAAAAAAACGAACAATTAAAAAAAAAAAGTTAAATATCACAATTTTCCAAAAAACTTATAAAATTTTTTTTTTATTTTTTAAAATTGTGATATTCAACTTTTTGTTTGAAGTGAAACTTTTTTGTCAACATTAAAATTAATTTAGCAGATATTTGATCATTTTAAAAATATTTTTAACAAATAAATTATATAGCAAAAAAAATGAGAAAAAAAATTGACATGTAAAAATTAAAAATCCAATTTTTTAAAAATAATTTTTTGGACCAAATTTGTTTGTTAAATTAAATTAAAAAATTATCAAGTGACTGCTAACTTTAATCTCATTTTATCGACGTATGAGAGAAATTTTGTAGCAATGTAAAAAAAAATCGTTACGAATAAATCTAGTAAACATTATTAATTCTAAAAACAATAAAAAAAATAAATTAAATAATAATTTAAAAATAAAACTTTGAATTCTATAAAATCATTGCATGTCTACAAGATAAACTGTTATCATATAACTGCATTACTTTGAATAAATAATTCCAATTATTAACTTATAACTTGTGTAATTGAGTAAGTTATTAAATATCTGCTTTGAATTATTTTTACTAAATTATGACATGAAATATAAATATTAAAGTTCGTTATATAATTTTTGTAAACTGATCAACTAATTTTTAGATTAAACAATGGCAGAGTCTAAATAAATGACAACAATGGTAATTATGATGCGATCATAATTGATGAAATACAATAATTATAATAAGAGCAATGATAAACTGAATTACTCATATTATTCGTACGCATGTCTATAATACTAAAATAACTTTAATTTAATACGGAAAAAAATTTTTTTCTTAAGCCTTATCCACCCAATTTCTGTAAAATTGTAAATAGTAGAAAAATAGTATGTCAAAAAGAAGTTTCACTTCTTACCTATGTACTCTAATACACACATATTTTTTTAAATTGTTCATTTTTTTATGTTTAAAAAAAAATATCTATAAAATCAAATAGAAAATATATCCAAAAAAATGAAAATTAAAATGGTTAAACCCACGTGTAAATATTTACCAAATTTTTTTTAATAAAATTTTTACCTTCAAAAAGCGAGTACGGGCGATCAGGAATTCGAGATTGGTGTTTTTCATAATCAAAACACCACTCGGCAAACTTACAAGCACGATACAGATGTTTTAATTCCTAACAAACATTACGTAATACAAGTTACATAGTTTACAAGAATTGTACACGCTTGGAGATAAAAAAAATTTTCTACTTATCGGTGTTTATTTCAATTACCTTTGTCTTTTGATAAAGACATAAAAATGTGTAAGCGTTTCCTGATACTCCATGACAAATTCCGCTGCCTTTTTTCAACAATCCTCGACACCAAATTACCTCACCGCAATCTTTCGCTATTTCTAAATAATCTTCTCGCCCGAAAATCTATAAATAAATAAATTGAATTTAATATTTTGTCCATATAAATTGTAAAAAAAATAATTAATTAATAACCTCATGAGCTAAAGTAAAAAGCATGGTCATTGACGGCGCTCCATGACACCAATGAACCAATTTATCAGAATTACTTCCGACAGATGAAGGAAAATTCCCAGTGGGATATTTCAGGGAAACTAAATAATCAATTGAAGGTTCAATGACATTTTTCAGCTGATCTTCTGTCAAAAATTCACGTGCCTTTAAATAAAAATATATTTTTTTATTGATAGTTACTAGCAACCTTGCAGTCACTATGTGACTGCTGTGACTTATAAACTATAAATAAATGAAATTTTGCTTTATTAAATAATGAATTTTGTTAAATTGCACTGTACTTTCTTAAATATTGAAATTTTTAAAAATATAAGCTCATTCAGATGTTACATTCATCAAGAGCTTTCATTTGAGTACCCACATGCATTTTGATATATTTTTCATATATACATATATATAATAAATATAAATATATGAAAAATTGATGTAGGTACTCAAATGAAAGGTCTGGATGAGTGTAATGTCGGGATGAGCTTATATCTTTAAAAATATCAATAATTAAGAAATTATGTATTTTGTCGCCTAATGATGTTATTGAAGATATAAGCTCATTTTAATGTTACACTCATCGAGACCTTTCATTTGAGTACCCACATGATTTTTTTTATATATTTCATATATTTTATATATATGATATTTATGAAATATACAGGGTGTCCCAAAATTACTGTAAGAGCTTTTATGGGGGTATAGAGATGGAAATTTAGAATCGAAAGTTCCTGAACGATTTTAAAAAATTTGCATTACAATTTAAATTACAGCTAATTAAAGTAGGCCAATGAGAAGATAGCTAATTCGCGCCTTAGAAATTCAAGAGTAGGGAGGTGAGGTCGATAAGCTTAGAGTAAATTTGAACCTATGGTAATGCTTTTCTTTCTAGTTCCGAGGCCCGAAGCTTTTCTTTCTAGTTCCGAGGCCCGAAGAATTTTTTCTCCCCTCCGTGCGGAAAGCGTCAATTTTCTGCTCGCTGCGCTAAACGAAAATGCCGCTTTCCGCCTCCGTCGAGGAAAAAAATAGTATTCTCACCACGGGCAGGAAATAAGAAAGCCTCAGATCACATGTTTGTCGACCTCGGCTTCGCCTCGGTCAACAATTACATGTAATCTGAGACATTTCTTATTTTCCTGCCCCAGGTAAGAAAAATACTATTATTTTCAGTGATTGTCAATGAAAAAATGAGTAGGTATACAGTTAGTATTCTAAAGGAAAGCAGGAATATGATATTTTCCTTTTCTAGGCTCCAGATGAATTTTTTGTCTACTTAGTTACCAACCAACCAACTACTTAGAATTAGTGGTGGCTTCGAGTCAACCGTTTTTCCGATTTTTTTTTTTTTATCGTTTTATATCCGTTATCTGCATTAACAAAAAAAAACTTTTTTGTAATTTTCAATCCACGTGGTTGATTTTTTTTTAATTGAGCTGAAAACAATAACTCCTTAACTTATCTCATTTTTTCGTTTTGACGATTCGTCATTTTCAAAAGGAGAAAGTTATTAATTCCGATCCAATTTTGAGAATGCAAATTTAAATTAGATCTCTACGTTTGGAGGTCCCAGGAAGCAACCGTTCCCACCATTTCCAGTTGGGCGTCCGGCCTTCTGTGGGTATGCGTGAGGATGTATGTTTCTATGTGAATAAAAATTTGTCATATATACGATATCTTTACAACGAATAAACCGAATAGGATGCGCGACACGTCGTTTGAAAGTTTTTATAAGGATTTAGATAAAAACAAAAAAAAAATTTTCTAAATTTTTCCTAAATAAGTTTTAAAATATTCGAATCATCAATTCAAGTCTTCATAGACAATTTTCTTGTTTGAAAAACTACGTTAAACGCCGTCAAGTAAACCGAAGGAAACAGACGCGTTTCAAAGTGATGTTATTGAAGATATAAGCTCATCTTAATGTTACACTCATCGAGACCTTTCATTTGAGTATCCACATGATTTTTTTTATATATTTTATATATATGATATTTATGAAATATATAAAATATATGAAAAATTGATATGGGTACTTAAATGAAAGGTCTTGATGAGTGTAACATTAAGATGAGCTTATATCTTTAAAAATATCAATAATCAAAAAATGATGTTGTATTTTATCGCCTAATGATGTTATTGAAGATATAAGCTCATCTTAACCCTTTAGAGTCAGAGGATCTTCAAACGTCTTCGCGTGAGAGTAGTGGGGAGAGCGCAAATCCATAGTAAGACCCAAGAGTGGGGTTTCAAGGTCAGACTCTAAAGGGTTAATGTTACACTCATCGAGACCTTTCATTTGAGTACCCATATGATTTTTTTTATATATTTTATATATTTTATAGATATGATATTTATGAAATATATAAAAAATTGAGGTGGGTACTTAAATGAAAGGTCTTGATGAGTGTAACATCGGGACGAGCTTATATCTTTAAAAATTTCAATAATTCTCAAGATACAATGTAATTTCTTAATTATTGACATTTTTTAAGATATATACTCATTTCAATGTTACACTCATCGAGAACTTTCATTTAAGTACCCATATGGCATTTTTTATATATTTTCTATAAATGGTATTTGTGAAATATATAATAAATATATAAAATATATGAAAAATTGATGTGGGTACTCAAATGAAAGGTCTCGACGAGTGTAACATCGGGATGAGCTTATATCTTTAAAAATGTCAATAATTCACGAGATACAAGGTCATTTCTTAATTATGTATCTAGAGATAGAGCATTTTCGAATGTTAAATACTTATCATAATAAATTGACTATTGGTGAGAATGATATGAAACCTTGAAAAGGCACAAATTCAAATCAAGACATTTGTAATGACAATGACACTAAATTTTACCAAAAAAAACCGATTTTATCATATGACTATCCTGGATACAAAATTTTTCTTAGTCTCTTAATAATATAGATTTTTTACTGAATTATAAAAAGGAATTTAATAAAAACTAACTTGCAAAAGTATGTAAATTATTCCAGCAAGACCATGAGCACCACCAAGATACTCAGAGTCATGCCAAATGTACATCAAAGGCGTGTTGTATTTACGCGATTTAGCGTAAGCTTTACCAGTCATCAGTATGCAATTAATAACTTGTTTTATTATGTCATCCTCAATCGCATTAGGAATGTGCTTGTTAACAAACAGTAGAGCATAGAGATAACCAGCGCGTCCATACAATAATTCGTCGTATGAACTTTTAGTCGCATTATTAAACAAGGCTTTCAACCTAGAATTATTTTCATTAAATTAATTACAAGGTAACTGGGAGAGAATGCAGTACACATACTTCGCTACCATAGAATGAGATTGTGCTTCATTGTTTAATGACTTGAAAATAACGGCTCCAAGGGCTAATCTTCCAGCTTCACCAATTAAAAATGTTATGTCTCGTTTGCTTCTAGAGTCACTTTGTCTTTCGATCAATTCTACAGCTCTCTGAGGGATAATTTACTTATAAATAAATTATTGATTATCGTTAGTCTACTGGATTTCAAGATAATTAGTCTGATGCATAATTACTGTTATGTTACTCTCGTCGTTAAACCTTGTACCGTATAAATAATACAAATATGCGATTCCAGTATTTCCAGTATAAATTGAAGAGTCTTCGCGATTAATCCATTCCTTTTTGTAATTATTTAATCGATTCAACATTATTGTTATCTTTTCTTTTAGCAACTCTTTAAAAATGTCGTGAATCTGTAAAAATACATTAATCATTTCTTTATCAATTATTATTGATAAAATCGTCATATTGAAATTAACAAACAATAAATAAAATTGATATTAATTTAACAAAACTATTTTCTATTTTTAAAACAAAAATTTTTTTTAATTATTCGCATTAATTTTTATGACACTGAAATTAGCAAACTCTTGACAACTTTTTGGTTTTTCTTGAGAAATATACTAGGTCTAGAAAATTATTTTTAAAAAATTCCATTTATAATTTTTCAGAGCTTCTAAAGATAAAAATTTTTAAGTGATTTTTTTTTTTTTAGTATAATTTATTTATTTATTAAAAAATTCTAAAAATTATCAGTTATCTCTCAATTTTTTTGATTTTTGTTAAATAATAATAAAGTTAGCCGACGTTTTTAATCTTTCGTTTTTTTTTTTTTCAATAATTAAATTAGAACAAAAAAAATTGCATTTTTAGTTTTTCAAATTTTTTACAAATGAAATTTTTTTTTTATTTTTTTATAATAATTTTTTCAATAAAAAAAAATTCTAAAAATTTTAAATATTAATTATAAAAAAAAAAATATTCTTAAATAATTTGCACTTGTTATTTTTTTAATTTTAAGATGTGTGGAATTTTTTAATTAAAATTTAGTTTTAAAAATCTAAAAATTTGACAGACGTCTTTTAGTTTCAGTATCATTTAATTTTTTTGTTTATTTAGAATTAAATATTTGCTTGTTACTTTCATTAAAAGAAAAATTAAAATTTTTAATAATAAAAAAAAATTATAAATAAATAAAAATGAAAAGTACGTCATTCTTTGTAGCATCAATTATATCTTGTGAACTTCCTGGTGAATAATCTTCAAAATGATTTTCAAAATGACGACCATCATTTCGATAAAATTTTGAATCCATTTTTTTTTTAAATCTGTAATAAAATAAAAAAAGTCAATGTTTATATTTAAGGTTAGTTATTATTGACGCTTGTTGAATAATATTTATTGAAAATTAAAATTTATAACTTACGTTTTATTGAAATGTTATAGTTTAATTTAAAAAGCTAGTTCTTTAAAAATTTATAAATTTTTTCAGTAATAATTTCAGTAAAAATCCGTCTTAGTCTGGAGTGACACGACCCGGCTGTAACTTATTTAAAGGTTAACGCAACAATAACATACAACATCTAAATATTTATTTATAACTAGAACTTTAATACTAAAATTTAAATAAAAAATAAAATTAATTAATTTTTTATAATTTGAAGTAAAAATATTTAAATGACATAAAAAATTATTTTTGTTTTTTTAATTTTGCAGAATTGCCAGTGAAAATTTTAGAATAACGTTACATCATTAGGAGCGCTATTTGATAAGTTTATAGATATTTTTTTTATAAACATAGAATAATAAATAATAATGAGTGATCAAAAAAAGTGGGACGAACATCTAAGAAAAGTCCAAAAACCACCTGAGAAAAAAGAAGAAAATAAAGTTCCGGAAAAACAAAAGGATGATAGTGAGAAACCAGAGGAAAAAATTTGGGAAGGAGATTGGATGGTATTTTTATAACCTTTAAATATTTACATATTTAATTATTTCAAATGAATCTTAAAAAATATGTATAGATTTTTTTTATACTGAAATTAATAGACATCTGTCAATTTTTTGGATTTTTATAACAACTAAATTATTATGAAAAAATTTGAATAAAAAAAATTCCCCACCTAAAAATTTAAAAACATTACAAGTGCAAATTTTTTTTAAATATTTTTTTTTTTACTGATTTGTTATAAAAATTAAAAAAATTGGAAAATGTCTGCTGACTTCAGTATCTTTTTTTATGAAAATTAAGTTAGCCGACATCTTAAAAATTTTCAGAATTTTTTTTTCTTGAAAAAAATTATTACAAGAAAATAAAAAAAAATTTTATGACATTAAAGTTAGCTGTCACTTGACAATTTTTTAATTTTATTTAACAAAAAAATTTTTTCCAAAAAATTATTTTTAAAAAATTGCATTTTTTATTTTTTTAAATTTCTAAATGTCAATTTTTTTTTGGCCATAATTTATTTGTTATAAAAATTTTTTAATTATTAAATATGTGCTACATTAATTTTCATAAAAATTTTTCATTTGCAAAAAACTGTAAGTGCAATTATTAAAAAATATTTTTTTGTTCTAATTTAATTAATGAAAATAAATCCAAAAATGAAAAACGTCGGCTAACTTTATGTGATATTAAAGTTATCTGTCACTTGACCATTTTTTAATTTTATTCAACAAAAAAATTTGCTCCGAAAAGTTATTTTTAAAAAATTGCACTTTTAATTTATTAAAATTTCTAAATGTCCATTTTTTTATACAGTAATTTATCTATTAGAAAAATTATTAAATATCTGCTAAATTAATTTTCATTAATTTTATTTATTTATTCAAACGCCTATCGGCTTTATATATTAGATTTACATCAATTAAATTTAGTTTTAGTTGAAAAAAGAAAATAAATATAAAGAAAAAAAAGCATTAATATTTAATTAGAATTAAATTTAAATTAAATCAATTTCATTTACTTTATAAGTTTAAATTATTAGCATTATAAAAAAATATCTCTGAGAGCAATTATTACAAGACGAAATAAAATTGCACTTTTCAAAAGATTTTAGTATTATTCTTTTTTTTTTTTTAATTTATAGTTAAAACCGTGTTATATGTATGAAGATGATTACAAAGATTGTACTTCAGTAAGAGGTCGATTTTATCAAAATTTCGTTCATGGTGAGCAATTAGATTGTAATCAATATAAAACGGATTATTTGAATTGTAAAAAGTGGAAGAAAAATGATGATGAAGCTGCTTACGTACGTATTCAATAATTATAATTACTGTTAATTATGCAAAATTAATGATTAACACTATAAATTTTTTATTATACAGAATAAATTGATAGAAAGCGTGAAAAAGCGAAGAATGGAGCGTTTAAAACCTCACCTAGCGAACGATGTGTGGACCAAACGTGATAAACCACCTGCAGATTGGTCTGAACCCTTACCTGAATGGATGGTTAAGAAAAACGAAGGAACATTTCTTGCATCCAAACAAAAAAATATTGATGTAATGGGTTACGATAATAACATGGATTTGTATGTACCATCGTGCACAATACTTTAATTGTAGAATAATTTAAAGTAAATTTAGCAATGATTTTTTAATTAATAAAAAAACGTTTAAAAAATGTATTAGTTACGTATTTCATAGGTGATAAAAAAATAGTTTTATTTAAAAACAATTAATTATTTAAATTACTGAAAAATCATTTATTAAAATACAAATTCGTATATATCTCAGTCGATTACCAAATTTTAAAGCGCATCAAGATTTTTTACTAACGAGCGATTTCAATTTTCTTGCGCAAACTTTCATACTCTTGGTTTTTTTTTGTTTATCCGAAGTACGTTCTGTGGAATCCGAAGGCCCAGTTTCTGTGGTATCAAGGTTGTCTAATCCATCTAGCGAAGGGAGCCTTTTAATTAAATCATTCTGACTGTCATCAGACGATAAGGTTTTCGATGTAACCTGTTTGGACTTCTGTTTTATTGGCCATTGAAATTTTGATTTTTTTTTTGAAATTTCTGATGTTGGTATTGCTTCCGAATCGGAAATTTGTGACAACATTGGAGTATTTGGAACTTCAGGTGCTTTACTAATTATATCTTCACATTTGGCATTTGTTAATTCACTGAAATCAATAAGATAATGTTTATTTATTTATTTATATACTTATACGTCAATCGGCTTTGCACACATTGGTAATACAAAATTTTGAGAAATTAACATAAAAAAAATTATGATACACGGAAAAAAGTAAACTGTAAAATTCACTCGGATTCTGGTTAATTTTTATAGTTTTAAACAGTACAGCGGATATCGGGTCGGCAGAAATATAAATATTACAGAACTTAATGTAAAAAGTGTAAAAGCCACAATTTATAATTTAATGTCATCTTCAAAAATTACAGTTTCAAAGAGTAAAAATTGCCGTTTCAATACATAGTCCATCATTCTATGAGGAGAAGGTGGTCTCAATCTAGGAGAATTTAACATTTTAAACAATTAAAATTCTACTCTTAAAATATATATTTTACGTCCAAGCAAATCAGTAGGGTAAATCGTCCAGTCCGTGACCGCCCGCCAATGAATGACCGGTAATGAAAATAATGATTATAAAAATCCAAAAATTTAGTTAACTGTCAGTGCTCAATCATAATTGTAATCTTACATATATTTTTCAATATTTTATCTCCACGAATTAAAATAATTTAAAAGTGTATTTTCAAAATTCATAAAAATTATATCGAGAATCCGAGAACTTCTAGAAAACTATAAAATTTTGACAAAACTCTGTGAAAACGGCTGCTTAGAAAACTATGAATTTTAGTTATAAATAATTACTTATTGTCCTATATAATTATTAGGGTGTGCCAAAATGTAACTTCCTTGATGGACCTCTTAAAATTGGAATTTTGAGTTCCGCTTTTAACAGGAGTTGCATTTGGGCATTTCCTGGCAAATTTTGGGCGTAAAGGATTTATTTGATTTTTATAGAATTTTTTATCAGGAGTTTCGTTCGGCCATTTTTGCTGGAATTTAAAAATTTCAAAGTTTAGCCGAACAAAACTCCTGTTAAAAAATTCTATAAAAATCAAATAAATCTTTTACGCCCAACTCAAAATTCCAATTTTAAGAGGTCCATCAAGGAAGTTACATTTTGACACACCCTAATAATTATAGTTTGATTTTTAGCGTTGCGTTTGAAATTTACCATTTTACTTTGTAAATATTGACGTTGCTTGTATTGGAAATTTAGTAACTGTATTTTATATTTTTTATATATCATGCGATCATTTTTTAGGTACAAAATAATAAATATCAAAGTCAAAATTCTTACTTATTTATTTATTTATTTACGCCAATCGGCAATATACATTTAAGATATAAAGTTAAATTTATTAGATATATATAATCAAATAATATATTATTACATGATGGTGAGGGGACAAATAGAATAACAATTTTGAGAATCAGATCAAAAGAGAACTTGCAAATGCTAGATGAAGGAAAGGTAAATTTGAACAAAAAAAAAGAAAAAAAGGGAAATTAATTATAATTTTCTTTGTATTATTAGTGTTCTGGTATGGTCAGTAGATGTCTTCTGGTGTTGTTGAAAGCAGTCTATGAACCTCCGTAGAACTCTATTTCACCTTAATGGAAATTTACTAGGGTGGCCAGTCTATTTAGTGGACCATGTATCACATAGTTCTTTTTAGATTTTGATGTTTTTAGCAATCTGTTGCGTCTTAAGGTTAGACTTGCTGGAGCAAATTCAAATAAGCTCAGTATGTCTGGAGCATCTATAATTCCATTGACTACTTTGTAGAAGAAAGCAAGGTCAGCGACCTGTCGACGGGCAAACAGTTGAGAGAGTTTGTAGTATTTGTATGCTTCGTCAGTCGAGATGATGCGATTTGAGGACGATAGTCTGTACGCTAGAGTTTTGCAAAATTTACGTTGCACTTTTTCGATTCTTATTATCGAGGCATTGGTGAAGGGACTCCAGATTACAGAACCATAATCCAATATAGGAAGGACCAGCGACTGGAAAAGACTGATCAGCGTGCTAGGATTATTAAAATCTCTTCCAGATCGAAGGATGAAACCCAGAATCTTGAGAGCCTTGGTGGTCATCTTGTCTATGTGCCCCGAAAACGTCAGTTTGTTATCTAAAACAATGCCTAGGTCTTTCATCTCTTCAACCTCGATTATTTTTATACCTCGTAGAAAGTAGTTGGTAGGAATGGAGGTATGTAATCGAGAAAAGGAAACAGCTGCGCATTTGTTTGTGTTGAGGTCAAGCTTGTTTCTTTTTATATATATACTTATTATATGTATACTCTTTTTATATGTGGGGTATTCCATGCCAAATCGACCACTTTTGACCCCGACCCTTTTCGATTTGGCCGAAAGTTTTCCATCCTTTTCTACCCTATAAAAAACGGTTCTCAGAATTTTTTTGAATTTTTTTACCTAACTCCAAAAAAGTTATGAATTTTTCAAAAAAATGGCTTTTTTATTTTCAAATAGCCATAACTTTTTCAAAACTAAACATTTAGGTACCTTTTTTTTTCAAAATTTTTGTTTTTAGATGTACTTTCCGATAAAAAATATTAAAAAATTTTTGTAAGTCAATACATATGGAATTTTTCAGTTTTTTGACAAAAATCAATGCTTTTTCGAAGTTCGAAATTTTTTTTTTTAATTTTTTTTTT